GATCTTCCGGAAACCTAGCTCGCGTTGCGCGAATAAATTGAGGTGAAAGGCAAGGTCACTCCGGGCAGAACTAAGTTAAAAACGCCATGAGCTGTACAGTTTTTTTATTACTTGCCAAGGGGCTCTCATGAGAGTTCGAAACGTCGGACAAATAACCAACTGCTCCCAGATAATACTTTACTCTCTTCTAAATGAAAAATTATGCCTTCGGTTAGAACGGCATTCGCTGATGCCGAATGGACACTGTAATGTTGCAAGATATTCAGCGCTCACAGGAAGTATTAATCCGATTTAGCTTAAGAGTAAACTTTACTTCTTTTGATAACATCCAGCCTCTGCACCTGCAAAATGCAACTCAAGAATTGACTATAGATTTTCAATTGGGTGCAAGTCAAGACTACTTGCTAGCCACATGTCTTTCCTCCAGAAATGTGGACTTTTCTCTGGCAGCTACATTTGGGTCTCCAGAACTGTATGAGTTGTGACCCGGTCCTACGTTAAATCTATACTTAACATGTCCGGAACAAGTTTATTTTGACTTAATCAAAAGATTGTTTTTCCAGTCTTTGAAACAGATTTTGTTTAGGATCTCCTCTCTGTAATAGTCATCATTCAATCATTGACCCTGTGGTACAATATGGAATTCAGAAAGCTCTCCAAAGGATATTGCGTCCCAAGTCATGATTATAGGGCAGTTTGGAATTTTAACATTCTCAAACATCTTATGAATTTGAGCCCATGAAATGCCATTTTTGGTTCGGCAAATGGAACACTTCATACAGTGATCCTTTGGAGAAGACGAGTTGTTCCCAATAGTTTACAGTCCACCTCCGGACCACCTTACGGAAGGTCATCCTATCTTTTATCTGGTTTTCTGTTAGCCTGCGGATTTTCGGGATAAAAAATCTGATCAGTTTTAGGGGGGCCTGTTAGCCTAGAGAGATGATAAGGTGCAGACTGTTGGATTAGCGGGTTTCGGCAATGGCAACTGCGGTGCAACGATCAAGTTATTTTG